GTGGTCTTTGTAGCTGAATGTGGACTGTTGGCCATGTGATGCTGAATGGTCAATTTTCCTTCATTTCCCTTAGGAGCACACTCCTGTGTTTTCTGGTGTCACCAGAGAAAGCATTGCCAAAATAACTAATCCTGAGGTAATGATGTGTTTGTCAAAAGGGATGTCTTGGAGACACATGCAAAATTTTCTTTTGACAGATACTTTTGGGGGATTTTTCTTCTGAGAGATACCTGAGGAAGCATCAACAAGCCATTCTTCTGGGAATTTCTGAATGTCCTCTGAATGAAAAGGGACAAACTCCTTCTGCTGAGCCAGCTGCTGAATGTCCATTTACTCCAAACAGTGATTTAGCAGCAAGAGCACAAAGTCTGCCTGGAGGTTGTTCCCTTCCTTGCAACAAATGACAGTCCATGGTTTTAGCAGCTTGTAGAAAACATTGCAATCCCCTATATAAAATATCCCATCCCCTATATAAAATACTGGAGTGGAGAATGTTTTTGGATGCCTCTCTCTCTAAACCGATTGCTATGCCCAAGAATTAATAAAATCCATATTGAAGTGACAGCTGGTGGACAGAGCTGGCTTCTTCCTGCATCACTTGTCTCTCTAGTGGCTCATGTTCTGGGCTCAATGCACATTTATCCTTTTATTGCGGCATTTATTGACTTCTGTTTATTTATTTATTAAACCTCTGTTTTCTTAAGAATCATAACTGCACTGCTCAAAATCTAAGTTTGGTCATACCAGCACTAGCTATTAACAGTTCTTTCCTCTTACTCTTTAATTACTGCCCTTCCAAAGGCATTCAGTGAAGGAAATAAAAAGGCAGACACACGAGAATTTGTTTTCTCAAAACTTTCCGTGCCATCATGAACCAACTCTGTACTACTTTAACTATTTCTTCTCTTGACAAAGTGAATTCTTTTTCTTAATTCATGATTTCTTTCATTTTCACCAGCCCCTAATTTATATGTACATTTCTCAAGCTGACAGAAACTTCAGACTGACTCAGTAGAGCAGTGGAAAGAGCGTGTCACAACAATAGGGATTCAAATGAACTTTAGAGCAGAAATTCGTTCGCTTGTTTATTTATGCTGGGTTTATATGGTAAGTGGCAAGAAGAGATAAAAAACATTCTTTTCAAGGGAGAGGAACTTGTTTTCCAAGTGGGGTTCAATCATTGTCTTTGTCAATCTAATAAATGATTTCTGTTTTGAGACTCATGGAAAAGAAAGACCAAGTCTTCCTTTGTTTTCTGGAACTCTCTAACCTGGGTCGTCCAGGTAATTATAGCTTTACTTAAGAAACAGTGTGAGAGAGGAAAGCTCTGCCACTGCTTGTAAGCACAAAGAAAAGACACTTGAGAGAATTAAATTGCATGGTGACTTTTATAAGGCATCTGAATCATTTTGCATTCCACCTTTAAAGCAGAAAATGATGAGTTTAATATCATATTGTAGGATGTAACTGGTAAGTCTCTCAGAAGGCATCCAGAGCTATTTGAGCCTCGTTTTTCATTATTTTCTGCATAAAGAAAATGTGACTATGAGATTTTGAACCACATCTAAATGTATTCCCTCCCTCGCTTGCAGGTGCTGCAGCAAGAAAAGCCCTACTGGGGGTGGGTTGTGGTGTGTAGATCCTGGCAGATACCCCTGGGGTTATGAGAGCAGATAGCAATGGGTTAAGTGTGTTTGCATGTGCTCATGTAAATGCAAACGTGTTTATTTACTTCATTCCCCCACTAATGTTCTCCCATCTCCAAGAGCAACAATTTCAGGAGGTCACCTCTCTGCTGACTTTGCTGAAATTGCCATCAGTAAGGTGACATATATTTCATAAAATGTTAATTCTGTGATCCTACCTGAATTGCTGGAGATCAGTAATTATGTCAAAATCTTCCAGAGAACCTCGACTGAAATATAAAACTTTATTCCCTTGCTTAAATTTGTTGTGTGGCAGTGGGGGAAAATGTTCCTACGTGTAAAGCACCTATGAATATGTATGACTCTAAAGAGGAAGAAGAAATACCATTATTGTTCAGGAGCAAAGCATAGTTCTTGTGAAGCTTGGGGGCAAACAAATTGTCTGCTGCTTGGTCTGCTTGAGGCATTAGGTGGCAAACTTTTAATGTCCCAGTGACTGGGCTGTTTTTGTCCATTTTAAGGCCACAATAACTTTGTGTCAGGGAATAAAGAGGACTTTTTCCATTAGGAACTCATGTGTTATATCAACAATGAACTGAATTATTTTGCTCTGTAATGGAGAATGCTCAACATGTTTGCCTTTGATAAAGTAATGAATGTGAGGAGGAGAAATGTGAAACGCTGAAATGCTGTTCTGCTCTCACACAGCAGTGTCTGGCATAGTACATCTAACTGGCAATTACTCTAGCAGTGTTTAAAAACATGCTGAATAGGATGGACAGTTGCAAGTTTGGACTAAATTTAGTGCAAAGGAATATGTGAAGTAGAGATTTTTGTACGTTCAGTTGGAGGCTAAGGAACAAAGACCAGGAAAAAAACCAAACAGAAGAATAGTCTTTGTGGGCTAACATAAGAAATTACTTTTTAATTATGTTGAAATGGATGACTTGAAAAATGTTTTTTAACACTTGTTTGGGTGATGAGCTACCTGTTTAATGTCACAGCTTCCAAATAAGGGATCTAGAAGCTTAATCTTTAGGTAAAGATGACATCTGTGAAGGATACTGCTCCCTCACAAATAATCATTGCAACCAGATTATTTGAAAATGGTTTTGATGAACAAAAAAGATCTTCAAGGAAATTTCAGCACACCAGGAAACTTTCTTATATACTCTGTGACACTTCTACCAACAATTTTTTTGAGTGGGGGTCCTAGGAGGGTTTAGAAAATACTCCAGTGACACTGTGTTAGACTGCATAACTTGATAATTGAATACTAAGCTGAGGCTCAGGTCACTCATGTCCTCCAGGTGAATTTCTTGCTGGATATGGAAATTTATTTTACTAATCTTACTAATCTCTGCCTCTGCATCTCTGTTTGTGGCCACCTTCTTTTGGAAACAATTTGAAAACTATGAATTAATAAGTACACTACATACCACAAACCCTGCAGTTTACACCAGCAATTTTATTTGTCTTGAGCCACAAATTATTCTAGTTTATTGTTACATACCTCACTGTGCTTCTCAATTACTTTGTGTTAGTAACTATGTTCCTATAAGGAATTCTGTCTGGTTGTTCTAAAATAAGTATGACTTAGGTCACTGACTTCTGTGTGAAGGACATTCATGCTTTACAAATACCCAGTTTAACTAGATTATCTGCTCACTTCATCAAATCACTGTTTTGAGACTCTACAACATGTTCTGTTTTATGGTGATATGCCAGTGTGCATCTGATCTCATCAAATTCTGTTTGTGATGGGGAAATTATCTCATGAAAATAGTATTACTTAATCTCAGTTTTTAATTTCTGTATGCTTGGAGAGGAAGAAAATCCTGTGTGGTGTTTCATCCTGTCAATGTTAATCTTTCTCCTCAGTGCTGTATCTCCAAATAGCAGATGTGTGCTTTATTGCAGGGCTGGTCCTCTATAGCACAGCAAAATGTTTTGGCAGGAGCAAACAATTTATTGTATTAGAGTCAAACATAATCAAATGTTCCCTTTCCTATGAAGCATGGTCAGATATTGATATTGCATTAGCTAACATTTTAACATAGCAGAGGCTTAATAAGATACATTATTACTCTCTCTAGGCTGTTTAATTAAACTAAACAGTCTCTGTGTATTATACATTGGTTTTCTGACAGGGGAATGTAAATCTGTATTATATTAGTGTCACATACCAACTGATGTTCTTCCCCCACCAGAGGCTCTAGAAGAGCTGGCACTGCTGCCACATGAACTGCACAATCCAACCTGCCCTCCTGTTACACAGGACTGTCCCATAGCTCAGGGTGCTCCAGCAGCCCTGGCAAGCTTTGTGTGCAGATAAACTTGTGGCTGCACAGCTCCCTGATGTATTTCAGCACAGGGAGAAGCATCATCAGCATCCTGCTGCCAATAGAGCTCTTCTCCATCCCTCTACTGAGGCAGACATCTGAGCTCTGGGACCAGGACTGCTCCAATGGCCCCATGCTGGCCAGGGGACAGGGATGGGTTTGTCACATCATTTGTTCAGGTCCAGAAGTTGTAAGAATTTGGGGAAAGTGGGTAATTCAGTGGCATCTGCTCTGGTATCACTCTTTAGTGCTGGACAGTGCCATCCACTGCTGCTGATGTCACTGTATGTAGTGCCCCAGGTGAACATTCCCTCTTTGCCACTGATGCTGTGGGAAGGGGATGGGCAGAGCAGGCACTTCTCTGCTAGGGGCTCCTGCTGTCTTCCTTTAATGCAAGAGCTGGTTCATAATCCTGTAGGGAGCTACAAGCAGAGAGGCATTACAGGCTCTTGCTTTGAAGAGTTGTTCTGTTGAGCTACTACTAGAAAGCAGCGGAAAACAAAACATTTGGAGTATTTTTCCTCATACACAGAAATAAGCTGCACAGGAACTACTGGAGTCTTTTTTACACATTTTTGAGCCTGTTTCACCTGGCAGAAGGGAACATCTGCATAATTCAATGCAGAACTGTGCAGAGATGGCCAAGCTATGCCCAAATAATCGTGCTCTAGAACTGGAAGATGCATATTTTTATCGCTGGCAGTAAGTGCTGTATCACAATGAAGGATGTTTTGGCTCTGTTTTGCACAGTGTCCTGGGCAAAATGTTCCAACAGTCTCAAAAAAAGGTAAAGAAATGTCTGTCATGGTTCTTTGTTGTATTTCACATGCCCCCACAGAGAGGCAGGAATGGTTGGGTACATCACAGTGAGATCTTTAGCTTGGCTCTGATGCTGGCACCATGGATGGGTTCAAGAATGGCAGGACTGGATTTATGTGAGGCTTCACCTGCATAACTCAGTTATGATTTATCTCGTGCTGAATGTTTTGCTGTTGTTGTTTTCCCTCAACAGAAGATTAACCTGGAGTTCTATATCGACATCCATGCCCACTCCACCATGATGAATGGCTTCATGTATGGGAACATCTTTGAAGATGAGGAAAGATTTCAGCGACAGGCTGTTTTTCCCAAGTTACTCTGTCAGAATGCTGAAGACTTCTCTTATGTAAGTCATGCTTTTCTTAATTATTTTTTCTTAGTTTTTCTTCAGTTTTTTTTTTGCCCTTATGATAAATCTCTGGCTTTATTTGATTGAGCAGATTTTATTTCAGTATGAATAAAAGGCTACATAAAAATTTTACTATTAGCTACCATCTTCCCTCTTATACTTACCTTATCTAGCAGTGGTAACTTGTGATCTTATGTATCATCGGACCCCTTAACAAAAGCAGGTTTTTCATCTTCTGTTTAATAACCTTTAGTTCTGAATTACTGGCACACCCTGTTTTTCTCAGATCTTTTGTCTTTTGATCAACTGGATCAACTTTTTTGTTCCATTGTTTATATTAATTTGTCAAAGATTTTACTTGTACACTCTAAATAATAATATGCTAGCAAATAGAGATAAAATTAATTAGCTTGAGAGAAAAGGTGAGATAACATTTGTTGAAAGTTGTGTCAATGTATGCTTTTGAAATTCTTTGGTATTACCACAGAAAAGTGTTCTGCAAGAGGATTTACAATTGTCCAGTACTTACAACTTGGAGAGTGGGAAGGGGGAACCTTGGTTCAAGGAACAGCTTGTTCTTACCCAAGGAGACCTCATAGATTGAGTTTCTGGTCTGCACCTGGTTGTTTCAAAAACACATTAGGGGTAAGGGGCATTCACAGATCACAGCAATGAAAACCTGCAATTAATAGGAGCTGAGAGAGTCTGTGCTCAAGTGTGGGATTTCTCTCTGCTACTGTGGGAGTATAAGTGTTCCTCTTAGCACCAGCCTTGGGTTGACAAAGAGAAAATCTTTGAGAAGATGATGTAGGAAATAGAAACCAATAGCTAAATAAACAGCACAGTCTCTCCCTTTTGACTCTTGAGCCCAGAGTTCCACCTTGGTGCTACTGGCACTGGGTGCATCCAGCTTCCCCCTGACATCCTACTGGTCTCTTGAGGCTGGAAGCTTTTCCCCTGCCGTCCATCCAGGCCATTCTTCCCAGGGCAGCTGAGCAGATAGAAGTGTTGGAGAAAGGGACAGCCACCAAGTGTCTGACAGGTGTGAAGTGACAACTGATGTGTCCCCAAGTAGGAAGGTCTGTTTTCTTGTTTCCAGCTCCATCCACGTGGATTATGTGACTCGTTGGAAATATCAGGTGAAGAGAGGAAAGGAACCCCAACTGGGGTTGGAAAATGTGCCAAAGACTTAAAATAGTGTATGTAAATATGCCCTACTGCCTGCTCAAAGGGAAGGGGGGAAGTGCATCGTTAACATTACCAGGCTGGTGTTTGAAAGTGTGGGAATGGACCACTGTTGTTACTAATGAATTTTCCAAAGCTTCAGGAGGTCTCATTTACATTGTATGCTGCTGCGGCCATTTGTTGGGATTATAATACTTCAACAGCAGCACTTCAAGTGAAAACTGGCGGCTGCATGAAGTGTTGTCCATAATTGACTAGCTCCATGTCTTCACACAGCACAGAGACAATGTTCCATTATGTTATCCATTGACAGTATCATTGAAAAGATTACTCTCCTTAAAGCATCTGTCAACCTTGATTGATTTACAAGGGACAAAGCACTGAAAAGGTTTGAAGTGCGGGTACAATTTTTGCCACCGTTTAGCATACATAATGGTTCTCCTTTGATGTCAAAAGCTCATCTTCTATTAATAATGCAGAGGGCTTTTGAATGCAGGCTACTTGTATGGAGTTCCACACTAATAACCTACTTGCTGTGAAATGGGATTCACTTTGGAGAAGCAGTCATTTGGGTTTTACATGTTCGGAATGAATCCCAACTCAAAGGGATTTCTTTCAGGGCTCTGCATGATTGCAGCTGAGCCCAGCACGGGTAAGGGAAGGCAGGCAAATCCTAGTCTGCTCCTCCAGCCGAGAATCTGGCAGGGATCACGCAGCCAGATGCAAAGGAGCATGAACAACAAGCCTAAGACGATGCGATCAAATGCCTTGTGCCGTTTTGTCTGGCAACCTTCTATTAATATACTTTAGAGTGCATTTCATGCCTGGGCTGCTTTCTTCACCTGTCATTTCCAATAGGCCTTTTTATTTAAATGACAGTATCCAAGGGAGATTGGTGATTAGAGCAGGGGATGGATAGGGGATTTGTACCCACATGCCTGTTATAGGACCAAAGGAGAGTCACCCAGTGTCTCTGTGCCCTGTCTGCTGGGCAAAGCACGTGACCCCACAGCTCTCTGGAAGGCTGACTTGGTTCACAGGCAAGAGTTATGAAAGAGACCAGAAATTCCTCATTTGTACATGACTTCAGAAAACAGAGGCCTGCCTTTGGTTTAGCTGTCAGCATGTGAAAAGGAAAGTGAAAGAAGGGCTAGGATGTTTTGCTCCCAAATAAATACATGAGACATTCCTGGGCAGCTGCCTGGGCAAAAGGGACAGAATCTGTAAGGAAAACATTTTATATTTTCAGTGTTTAAGAAGGATATTTTTAAACACTGGGATGTAAATATAATCCATGTGAAAGCTCACATGAAAGCTGACATGTTCTTTTGAAAGGCTGACTCATTGCATTTTGGGAGCAGCTGTTGGCACCATGTCTGAGTGCATTACACATCAGCCATGGCTTGGAGTAGTTGCAGTTTTTGTAGGGATGTTCTTCATTTGACCTTTCTTGTTTGGGAGAGTGGATTAGTCATAAGGACCAGACACAAGCATTTGAGCATTTCAAGAACCTGCTCGTCTTAGGGGTGGCTAATTTTGACCTTTGTGGCAGTATGAGAGGAGACCATCTGTTCTCTCTGGTTCATTTGAAAGAAACAACTGCAGCCATTCTTGGGTGGCTTTATCACTTTGCAAAGATTGCTTTTCTTTTCAGTTAAAGACCAGCCAGAGGTACTTGGCCTGATCTGATCAGTTTGGGTTTTTTTCCCCTTTGGACTCTGAACTGGTGGCATGGGGCGATACATTTGAGTTCTCATTTTGTATTCAATCTTGTATTCAACCTCCCAGCAGAGAACCTTCCTTGGAAACTCTGTTTGACCTTTGTGTGCCAGTGTTACCCAAAGACCCTGATAAAAACTTAGAGTCCAATTATGCTGAGGAAGTCCACAAACCTAAAAGCTTCCAGTCATGCTGAGAAAGAGATAGAAAGTGGGTAAGAAGTTGGAGAATAAAACTTGGATGTCCCAAGTGCCAGTCTTGTTTCTCTGTCAGTAGTTCTCTGTTTTATATCATGCTCACACTCTAGAATGAAGTCTCTAGGCAGCAACCCACCCAGTTTCCTTTGGGGAAGCATGTTTTTAACTCCAGTGCCATAACACTGTGACTTAAAACATGTTTTAGAGACTATCATTGTCTCAGCAATATGAGAAGATGCAGATATTAAATGATTTGCACTAGTACTTTTTGTGGTGGTGTTTTGTTTGGTTGGCTGTTTTTAGTTTGGACATCAAATACAGAGCAGTGAAGAAAAATAGTTTAATCCCTGTATCTTCTGCTGCCTTTTCTTGATCCACAAACTCCAGGTCTGCTGTTCTCATTTTCACAGCATCCCCTCCATCCAAGCTTTTATAGGCAAGATGTGTTTGTTCTAGCAAAACTTCTCCATTCTATGGCAGCCCCTCTGGGCTATTATGATTTACCCTGGCTGGATACCTCCCCCTGAAATCAGCGGTGATGCAAGTGCCTGAGGCAGTAATATCAACATTGAATGATCAAAACCCAATAATCTGTTCTGAAATAACAAAAATATAGCTTGTGTTGTGTATGGCTGGACAAGGAAGAGGAAGCAGTAGAAAAGGTGGAATTTATCCTGATGTAAAATCCATATTCACTTGCATCACCACTTCCTAAGTGCCTCTGTGCTGTTTTGGTAAAAAAAAGACTCTTGTCCCAGAAAGGCAAAAGCTGCTGTGTTCAGGTAGGTTTTGTTAACATCATGCAAGCTTAACAGATCTACTCAGAAATCTCTTAAAACCTGAGCACAACAAATGATCCTGCCTCCTTTTTTTTTGTAGTCTTGTACCAAGGCATATCCAGGAAGACAAATACAGCTATTATATGCTTTAGCACCCCTCTGGGATGCATTTCTGCTTGCTGCTTCTTGGACGTGTTGCTCCATAAATTTATTTATTTATTTATTTATTCTGGAGGTTGGGTGAGCCAAGACAAGGAAATGTGTTTCTGGTGGCAAAGGGAACAGAGTGTAGAGCCAATCCTTCTCAGAGTTACAGGCTTTGGTCTCACAAGGACTCTGCCTTTGGAGAATCTCAGTGGAATGAAACTGTTCCATTATGTCGTGTTGTACCAGTTCACCCCCCCTCGAATACGGAGGATTGAATTTGTATTGAAAAGAAAAGGGCGGGGGGGAAGTGTTGGAACAAATGGATTTTCTTTCAGTACCTTCTTGCCTTGTTGTTTGTGCATATAGGAGTTGATAGCCCCTTCTACATCCTCATGCAGGTAGAAACTCAGAATGTACATAGAAGGATCAAGTTTTCATAGCAACTTTATGGTGTGTTTTCAAAGAACATCATTACTCTCACCTAATGTCAACCCACTGGGAGAGGATGGCAGCCTCCCAGAGCAGCAGCAAGCAAAGGAGCTGCTGTAGAATCTCCTGCAGGGCACCACAAATTCCCTCAGATGGGACAAACTGTGCTGTGAAGGAAGGACAGGAAGAACTGGACACTTGTCCCCCTGGCAGGATAACTTTTTGGGTAATACCTTTTTAAACACATGATATTTAAACGTATGTAGGATACAACTCTGGCTCAGAGAACTGTCCTGGAGCAGTGAGAGAGCCAAGAAGGAGTGTGAACAATGGGCTGCACTGGGTAGCTCTGGGAGCAGCATCCTGACCCACCTTAGGAAGGTTGTGACCCCCTGTTTTAGGCCTGCAAGTGAGGAGAACTTCTCTTTGCCATGGAGTAAACCACTTTTTCTGCAAACTATTCAATGCAACTGGGTGCATGATGGCTGTATTTTCCTTTTTGCTTCTCATTGTCCTAGTTTTCTGTCATTTGTATAAATGA